CCGCCTCATCGACTGTATTGACCGACTCGCACCTTGCGCTGTCCTCGTAGCAAGACGCGGTACCACTCAGTGCGTATGATCTGAGGTTGGCTAGTGTGTCCATCTAGACGCTATGTCCTCGGTCGATAAGATTGCAGTCGTGTGAACTCTATGTAATCGATATTCAGCCTGCGCCGGCTTTGATCGATGATGTGGCTGTGTGGATTTGACCACCACTGTATATGGCTCAAATCGATTTTTTTCTCTTGCTGCTCTGTTATCGTAGCGGGCTTGCATACACTGGACGCCGCTACGCCGTGCACACATCATCACAAACAGAGGAATCGAGGTGGCGATGCAGTGGTCTCATTATTGATTAACCGTAGTCACAACGCTCCCACTTCTAGCGGTACAAGGCGTTCGTATATTAGCAGCCTAGCCTCTCTACCACCACGCCTCGCTAACTAGCGTCTATCTCGCTTGCATTCTAATCGATGATCAATAATGATGTCTCGCGCGCGCATGTGCGAGGTGTTGGTGGTGCGTGTGTGTCTCCTCTCAGTCGTGCGCGCGCGTGCGTAATCATTCATTTAGGCCTGCGCACATAGACGCGCGCTCTCGCATCGCTCGCTCGTGTGCGCGCGCACATCAAAACTGAATCGATAATAAACGTGCGCGTATGTTCGCATGCGAGCTAACTAACTTGCGCGCACGCTTGCTGGAAAAATCGATGTACGCCTGGAACAAGCGCGTGCGGACGTGTGAGTGTGTGCGTACGTGTGTGTGTGCATTTGTGTGATTGGTCAATTGACCCCGCATTGATTGTTGTTTGCGCTATCACGCATGCCTGATCTGTGTGGTTGTACGACGTGCAAAAACAACTTGGCAGCTGCGTTTTGTGTGCCCTCTTAATAATTATCGATTCAGCCAGTCATTCATTCTCGCGCGCTAGTGTGTACACACATCATTTAAGTGTGTTGCATTTTTTTTAAAAGAACACACAATGCACAAATGCAATGGATTAGCGGTGCTCGAAGCGACCTCAACCTGATCTCCTCCTCCAGGTAGATCCTTGCGTGCTCATTATCGATCTTTTAGAGCACCATGTGGTTTCGTCCGAATTGCAGCTTACATTTCGACCATAGACTCGATCGAATTCAAATATTGATCGTTTGAGTAGGTTGTGTTTGGTGTTCATGTTGAGAGGCAAAGTTGTCGATGTCAGCTACAGCTACGCGTCCTGAGTGGGATACTTCTATCGGTTTCGAAATTCTCGCGGTCCGATCGATAAGGGAATCAATATTTGAGTTACTCTCCGCCTCCTCCTGCGCGAACAAGGAAAGTTGCTGATTCATTCGAGCATTTTGACACCTGTGGAGGGCCAACTTACAGGGTTGCGATTCATTTTGTGATTGGATGTCAAAAACTCGGAGAATCCACGTTTTGATTTTATTTTCCATGTAAGGCTAATCAATACTGTTCTTAGGGTGAGTTTCCGCATTCTGATGGCTCTTCGTTTTTGCAAAATCACTTTGATCCTTTTTTGATAACGGAATGAATGTGGGAATTAATTTAGTGGTTTTAATGCTGGTTGAATTAATTAGTTGTAGATTTGAGTTGTAACCTTTCGACCTCTTATTTGTTGTGCATGATGACCACCTACTTATTTTTCTTCAGTAAAGGGATAATTTCCTCCCATGATTTCATTCCCCTTGGTTGAAGTTTCGAAGCTTTGTTTCTCCATGTGTTCGTATTTTGGGTGGCTTTTTCGGTGACTTAGCTCAAACTGGAATACTCTTCATCATACGTAGCCCGGGATCCCATTACTTAACCAATTTTAAAATTTTATGTCACTTTGAGCGCGTAAGCCCATCATGTGTTGGTTGCTATTTTTGTGTCCTCTAGCCGATACCACTGCTGAGCCAATAAAAAAATCAGAACATTTATGGATTGCCATAATTTAAGATGATCACTCACCCTATCCTAATTTGCGGATGAGAGTGAGGTGAATGTGAGTAGGCAATCAATAAATTCCGGTCCTCCTCCGCTTATCCATGTTTCGTGTGTAGGTCAGGTCATTGACTCATCATCAAGGGCTCAGAAACTGAGGGTAGTTGTTCGCACGTTCCTTATTGGGTGTTAGCGCCTTCAGCATTGACTTTTTTTGATTGGCGTATTTCTAATCCTGATGTGTATAGGCATCGTAGGTGCATTTTCCATTATCAGAAACCGACTTATTAAGACGGATAATTGCACTTCAGATGTAGGGTTTGCTGCCTTATGAGTCTTGATCTTTCCGGTTGGAAATTTGGTTCATCCGTGCTCTCACGTGGTTTGTAGCTTTTTGGTACCTCTGTTCGATTTAGCTCCCTCTGCCTTTAAAATAAGGCCATTTTCTCAGCCAAGTCTTGACTTTTGGAGGGGCTCAATTAGGAACTTTCTTTAACAGGATTGAAATTGACTGTCCCAATGTATCGAAATTCCATGGTCTGCCTTCTTTTTGTGATGCAAATGGACTTTATTGAGGCTATCACAAGGTGGATTTCTGTGTTTTGGGTGTTTCAAATCTGCATGTTATGCTATTTGAAAGCTTTAATTAACATTGTCTAGTCCCCTAAATTTCCTCTTGTCATCGCACGATTCCGTTCCTGCCGTCCCCTACCTACCGAACCAACTGGATTGCATCGTTTATGGAAAGGTAGAACCTTGAAGCTTACGAAACGGTAAACAGTTATGATTATGCATTTTTCCTTTTTGAAAATGGTCGACTTAGTTCCACTTTTCGATGAGGTAGATGATCCCACTTGCTGAATGCTGATGCCCTGAAATCCATTTTCGCAGCTAACAGATTCTCTAACACTGGAAAGGACTTGAACTTCACTAAGTTTTCGACTTTGTGTACCAAATTCTGATCTGATGGTTATCCCTGCTGATCGTCAATAGTCATTGTAGAGTTCCTCACGTAAAGTTTGCACTGTTCGTAGGCTCCTCCGTCTTTAAATACTAAAGTTTCACCGGTAGGAGGCGCCGCTTTTTTACTTCGCTTAACATCTCAACCGATTTTAAAGCTACTTTAAGTTTGCTCCTACCCACGGATATTTCGGTCGCCAGTTTGTTGTGCTGTTCGGATGTCGTTGTTGAGGCTGTCTGTTTTTGGTTTTAAACTAATTAGAGGAGTGGTCAGTTTAAGTCGATTTCCTTTGCACTTTGGTCATTTGACGCTGTCTCTAACGCTTACCTTTTTTTACTGTGTAAGAGTAGATTTGGGGCAAATGATTTGGGTTGGCTTACATTGAATGCCCTCTATGTTGTCATTAGTCCACCCGTTTTCGATAGATGGATAGCTTTATTCTACAAATTCGAGTTAGAAGTAGCTGAATTTGGTGCACCTAAAAGTAATCATCGTTTCAGAAACTGTTGCGAATAAGATCTTAATCGTTACTAGAGGTAAAGTTTTGAGTCACTAGTGGTGATGCAAATTTATTTCTTGCCTGGATCACTGATCCCCTGTGCTAAGGTCATCTCTCCATGTCGTTTTTTGAAGTAGTCAACTTAAGTGACTACCTAAATTCTTAGCGCTACCTTAGCATCTTCTGGGTCCACCTCACTGATGAATGTTTTTCGGCGTCATTTGCGTATTCGGTGCGGCTTGCAGGCTGCTCAAGCCACCTGAAAGGTTTTTGCAACTCTGAGAATCTGGCGCATTTAATGAGACGGGCCCTCGTTCGCCTTGGGGCGGTGTCCGCTCTAGCTTCAAGACTTCGCTGTCGAATCTAAAAGTAGAGATGGCCAATCACTGGACGAGTCATTGGCAGGCGCACACGTGCTTTGTAGGCCTGGGTCTATGACTAATCCACTCATTCGCACGCACAAACAAGCACATGCGTACTCCCTACGCATGGAAAGTGAAAATCAGGAGGTGGGGATGCACAATGACACATGATTCACACTCATGCCCAGCGCGCTATCGATTTTCACAAGCCCTCGGGGGGGGGAGGGGAGGGGAGGGGAGGAAAAGCAGGGCGTTGGCGTTTGGCGGCGTCTTGGTTCGGCAACTCCGACTTGAGGCTGGATTGTTTTTCGTGTTTGGATAGGCTTTATCTATTAAAATGATCTCGTACCATGGGCCTTGAGTAAATGACGCCACGAACATGGCATTTGATGTGCATTTTTCGAGAAGAAACTATCCTATTCATTTTCTCCATGAATCCTGGGGCAGTTTGCCTGGCTCAAATGCTCGTCCTATTTGGTTGAAGTGATCATTTTCAAGGTTTTAAATCGCCCATTAAACCGCTTTCCTGACTCCAACCAGTTTTTTTGGGGAGGGGTGGGGATCCTAATTAAAATTACTTTTTAGAGATCATTCCCAACGGCTGCTCAACCTGAATCTTCTCCGAAACTTGGTTACAGCGATAACCTTGATAAAAGCTGCTGTTTTGAACTCGATTTTTCCTCTTGCCTCTATTTTAAACTAAGACTGACCGGTGGGAAGGTCTAAAGAGAGGCAGTTTTTGGTAACTTATTCTGGTTTTGGATTCCAGAGTTGTTTACCTAATCTGAAAAGTTTCGGTGAAATTTCGAGTCTCACTTGATTAGTCTCTGCGGCTGCTACTGTTTCAGCAATGGGTGGGTACCAAGGTGTTTGGTGGTTTTCGCTCTTAGTCTGCGTGTCCTGTGGCTGAGGCTTGCCATCTGAGAAATTCGAATGGGGTTTAAAATGACGTTTCTCTTTAGCTTAAAGTTTAAGGGTTTCCGAACCAATGAGCTATTTTTTTTCAGAATTCAAAACATCATTTTGAATTGCTCTGCAAATGAATGGTCGATTTACCCGGGAGCTTTTGCCTAAGTGGGTTTGGTTGAGTTGCTAGTTATCCGATACCTCTCTGATTAGAAATCCAAACGAATTAGGGCATTTAGAGTACCATTTGTCTTGAAAGGTCTCCCGAAAGTCACCCTCTTCAATTACCTTTACGTCTTGTTGAAAAGTTCCCCTTCTCTTACGATTGCTGTTTGTACTATTGATGAGACCCAAATATTTGCCTAGTCCAGGTAATTCTAGACCTAGGTTCGCTGATTTCTTATCTTGCCCATTTCACCATTTCATGGGGTTGATTATTGTATACTGGGTGGAGCTGTCTCTACACTTTCAAATGCACCCATTATGGTCAGTCGATGATCGGTTGCGCACTTATTGGTCCACGTGGTTGACAAGTGATCAAACGACTAGTCGATCTATGTTTTTAATCCAGCTGATCTTTTTTGATGTCTCCCTTTATAAATGAACTTTGCGCGTAATGTGATGTGACTTATCGGCGTCGTCCTAGTGAAATTCTCGAGCAACATTCTGTTCGACCGATTGCTGTCGATCCGAGCTGTAGTGGGTCCTCGCAATTAAGAAACCTCTATGGTTGTCCTCTTGATTTTACCCTCAACGCATATGCATCGCCACCATGCGAATTTCATTTTGCATCCAAATTCGTTGTCTTTTATTTGATTTGGTTCGATCGACTAGCTCCTATCTTATGCATTCGCCATCCTACTAGTACTGGTTCTGCACTTATTCCCTTGCTCCGACATGCTAACCGGATCGTCATCCTTTCTCGCTTCTCTGTAGACGTTCCGCGTTTCCAGGCTGTAATGCTCAAGGGCGAAGAGACGAAAGCCACGGCAACAGGTGTCGATGTCAAGGCGGCTTCAACGACAGCTGTTAGTGGTGGATCCGTCGCAGCCACCACGATAACTGCAGGCGGCCAGCTAGCGCCAATCCAGCAGCAACCCTCCGGTCAGCCGCGACGGGTCCGTGATGAGCTAGACCCTGCACCTCATCACACGGCGGCAGATATTCGAGTGCTGGAAATACTCAAACGAATCCGCGACTCCGGTAGTGTTGGTGATGATGATCTTGACAGTGAGTCATTTGGTCCATTGGTTATATGGTGTTGTTTATCCTTGAAGGTGTCAAATCGGATCGAAAGGCTCTAGAAGAGCTCTTTTAAGGAACCGTCTCTCATGATCCTTGGTTTGAATATGTTGCTCCATCCTGGCGGAACTTGGGTCGATTTCGAAGTCACATCAAGCCGCAAATGATCCTAGCGATACAATTGTAGTCTTTAGGCTACCTTGAGTAATAGTTGGCAAAAATCTCGGTCGGTTGGTCCTGAGTCGTTGTAAGCTGGTTTTTTTTATTAAGCGCGTTCTCATTTTTTGTCTGCCTAAGTAGCTAATTTGGATTTTTTTCCCCACATTTTTGGATGACAATGTCGAGTGTTTAGCTTTCCGTAGAAAGCGTTACGAATAAAGTGCTTGTTTCAGTCCCACCTTGCAACTCACTGAAATTTCGGAGGTGGACCAACAGGAACCACACTTAATTTCCTCTCTCATGAGTTGTCACTTGTCGATTTTCCCTTTTAATATACCTACTTTTCTGAAAAGGATTTCAGAAATCATTCTTTACGTCGTGCTTTTCTGCATCTGGGAGTTGTGAGGACGTTGGTCGCATTTGGTGGTTGGATTACTGCCGAGGTTTCTTGTAGATCGTTGAATTTTGAAAACAACCGGCCAGCTATAATTGTTGGTAAAATGTCAGTGAAGAGGCATACACAATCATTGGGGCAGCCGTAATTCAGTAGACTGGCAACTATCTCTGTCCTACTCCGGTTTCCCCACCTTTTATTGTTGTATTACAGCCAATTTCGATGAAGGTGCATCAGGACGCCTCAGTCAAACCGGTTGGTGCTTTCATTCAAGCATATCGCATAAGTATTGCTGATTTAATGCTTTGCCGAAACCTTAACTACGTCTAATTGGAGGAGTACGCAATCATGAAAACAAGAGCATTGCCGCCTCTCAAAGACATCCAAATCTAAGTTCACCTTGGCGTTCGACGTATGACTCCATTTCCTGAGAAAGTTTGCAAATCCGCCTGGTTTCGGAATATCAACGTTGTGCTGCTCACCGCGGTTTAACAACTACATTGCCAAATTTATCTGTGGAATTATTCAAAAGTTATCTTACACGTATTGAATTCTCATTTATTGTGATGGAACGCTTTTGTGCTTCTGGTATACAACACTGAATGCATCTTAGACTGGAAGCGCAGTTCATTGAGGAGGTACGAGGTATTACAGCAACATACGCATCAATCACCATCAAGGTCCTGTCAGTACCACCATATTCCCCTTTCATTGTCCATGCTGAGGTGTTTCTCATTTTTTGACTCTTTTTGTCAAAGTCATCCAAGACCTCGGTGATGTGTTGTCACGACCTCTTTTTAAGCTTATTGCAAGGTTCATCTCGGCTACCCTGGCAGCACTGTTAGCGGCTTGTCCCCGAACTACTTGTCAATCTAACCGACGATACTTCCGTCCGCAAAACACCTCAAATTCGTCAATCGATCTGTCCTTCGTCCCATCTGTCGAACTGCGGCGGATTTAACTGACAGTAAAAAAATGGGACTTGGGAACATAGCTACAACCACAATATGGGTCTGGGATTCCTTTGGTTTCGTTTTTTTGACCTCCTCCTCGCTATTCAATTGAGATTCGGAGTCGCGTGACTAACCAGACTTGTTCTTATTTCTACTTTTGGTTGGTTTTTAATTCATACAGCTTCACAGTGCTCCTGTACTGCTGCCTTGGTCATATGCTAAGCTGGGATCCCACTCCCCTGCTGAAGTGTCTGTCTTAAACTATGCCGTTTTGCAGTGTTGGTTTTGTCATTGTCGCTGTAGAGCTTTTGGAACATGATGGTTTGTGTTGCTTCCAGAGGCCTGAACCTAGGCTGTGTGCAAAGTAGTGCTGCCTCATTGTCAGCACCGTTGTCTTCAGCATTACTGCTATGCGCATTTTACCGCAAATCATTTTACTTCTCATGATTGCCTATAACTGCTCACCCCGTGGTTTTGACTCAGGGTCTTCGCCTGCTACACTTGCCTCGGCTTTTCCAGTTTCGATATTGCTTTCTTCAGACTGTTAGACTTGTTAGTCTACCAAGTGTTACTCCCTCAAGAATGTGTGGCGAGTAGTCACTTTTGAATTGCTTTGAATCACGATGGCTTCTGAAATGTTCGTTATGCAAATCCTTTCAAAAGAATCGATTATTTCCCTGGTAGGCGCCCTTATGGAGCATTCTTGATCCTCTACTTTCCCTCTAAGTTGTCTCTATTAAGTCCTTTCTGTTAAAAAGCGGTTGAATAAAAGGCGTTACTATTTCTAATGAAATTGCTACTCAAAGGACTGCAGGACTGTCTTCCATTTCATCTCTTTTTAGATTGCGATAGATCTCATGACTTATGCCACAAACTCACTTAAAGGTGTAATTAAACCTCACTCTCCCTTATTTATCTTATTGTAGCATAACGTACTTGATCAAGGCCTCTCGTTCCCTCCTACTCTCAGCCGTGTCATCCGTGTGTTATGGCGAAATCTTAACAATTAATTTTCTGTCGTCCGACAGGGAATTTGAATAGAAAGAGGTAGCTTTCAAGTCCTCCTGATCGATTCATTTTTAAGGTTACGTAGCCAATAGGGACGGACTTCTGAGCCTTGTACTTTTGTTGGATCTCGTGCGATTCATAACATTACGTCTGCAAGCATCTGATTATGTGTCTTTGACTTACCTCGGGGTGGCTTCTTCGCTCAGTAGTTTCAGTTTTGGTATTCACTCGATTTTCTGATGCTCACGTTACCCATACTTTGTCGTGTCCTACAAAAATAACTATAAAGTCCATTTTGAGCGAGATAGCCTTCGAGGTTCTAAAACTTCTCGGTGGTATTGCCACTTCATTTTGGGCAATATTTGGCTCATCAAATGGGAATACCTCGGTTCGTTTCAGCCCTAAGGAGGTTCTCGTTAGTATATCCGAGAGTTGGGATAACTGTGCGTCTGGATTTCCGATGCCCTTGAAAAGTCAACCACCTTGACACTCCCCGCCAGACGGAACTTAGTGCAACTTAGTTTCTTCTGCCTTTATGTAATTAAAAAAGAGCTGGGGGCTCAAGCCAAGGACCTTCAAATGCTGCATGCTTTTTGCTTCGCATGGGAACTTATAAAGTTTCTCCTACGTGTTAACCCGTTTGATTTTGCGCGATTTAATCATATTTTGTGATGCCTAAACAAAAAAACTAGCGGAACTTGCCATTTGTGGAGTGCTCAGCTTGACTGTCACATCCCCTCAAAGATTATTGCAATAAACTACTTGTGTCAATGCTACGTCTACTTTCCGTTGTTCAGACCTTCGAAGTCATTTAAAAGCATTCATTTTTACAGGAAAGGAGGAGGAGGCTTTCTCACGAAACAGGTGTTATTAGCAGCCAAAAGGCAGGGTTTTTAGTCCTCTGCCTCCCGGTTTTGGATGTAAGACCGTAGCTTACATGTGTTTGAAATGAAGTAATTTTTTCTTATGTCCTGTCAGTACAGCTTGTTTCCAACTCTCACGCCTGGAGTATCTCAGCACTGGAGGTAACATCATTTACTTTTGGCTCTGGTTTTAAAATGGCCGTGCGCCCAGCTTATTATTGTTCGAGGGTAGGCGGGAACTCGTTTGCTTGCTCCTTATTATGAGTTTTGGCCTACCTCCTTAATCTGGACTTAAATCACTGCTCAGGTTGACCATCAGTCTTCATGCGAAATCATTGTACTTATGGAGCGGAATTTCGAATCGATAGAAGTAGGTTAATACCTATCTTGTATTGTGTGCCTTCTTTGAAGCGATTCTCCAAATTTGATGGATCTTTTCATAGCCTCTTATCATTTTACCTCGCTTCTAAGCCTACTTTCAGTCTTAAACTACAAAGCCTTGCTACTGAAAGAGTGATTCAGTAGAAAAGATTGGTTTAATGGTATGACAAGCTTAAAAGGAAGAACGCGATCTTGTTTTTTTTCCTCCTTGTTTCAGTTCCTCCGCCTAAACGGAAACCCGGGCGCACGAGAATGGGTGAGTTAGTTATCATCATTAAAAAGATGTTTTCTTCTAGCTCATCCTTTTGTTGGTCGCATTATCTGTAATATTGATGCTTAGCATAGATGGAAATGGGTATTGAGAATCAGATTCGCTCGTGCCAATCTCCAGATCTTATGCGAAGAGAGGAAAGAAGGAAAGCGATTGAATGTTCATCTGACACGCCTTAACAGTTGAGCGACGTCCCAGGAGGATTTTTGGGGTTTCTCTGTGTCTATAGCACTCTAAGTAAAATGGACGAGATTGTCCATAAGCCTCTGATTTCAGTCCTACGATGTTACGATCCACATTTTAGGGGCTACCTTCAGTGCAACTATTTACGCTTACACAAATCTGTTCACCCAAAGTGTCTCCACCAACTTATTGTACCATTGGTCGCTATTTCTGTTTCTTTTGTATACTGTTGAAAATGTTTTGGGATTGGAACCGCTGCATGTCACTATCACTAGTTGTTGATTTTACAAGCTTTTTGTGAAGTTCAATTTGCTCAAGCCTTCGCCTAATAAGACCACCAATGCCAACAAATTTGGATGATCCCGACTCTGAGTAAAGTTTCTTCCAAATAGCCTTGCCAGGAGGTAGATTGTCTTGCTATTTTTAACAGTGAGATTTATGTATAAGCATCGCTTAGCTCAAATGTAACCTCATTGAATCTCGATTCTACGTGATGTGGTTCTAGTGGCTCCTAACTGTTTGTCTAGAATATGTGCTCTGTGGTCGCGTTCAAGCTAGCTCCCGGGCCCTATACCTGAGAACAGGAGACTACAGCAGCCCATTGTCATTTAAACAACCGCACTTCTACGTTGTTAAGGCAACTCTGTTCACAATGTGGGGAATTGTATCCTCGTCACTATCTGAAACCATCGTTGGGCATATTAGTGTTGAGGCACCGGCAAATAGCAGGCGATTTATTTGAAATTCATCGCTGAATGATATTCTGCAGCGAATGCGTTTCTTTCTCCATTCACCTTTCACCAAGGCAGTTACTTTTAATTCAAAGGTGATCATCAAAATGAACAATACAGATAATCTTTACGTGCCTCTTTACCTTCCCGTTTGCCTCCTCAATCCTTTGGGTATGTTGCTCTTGGCTGCAGCAGGGTTAAAATTGGCACCTGTTGAGGACGTTTTAAAGTAAGCAGAATCTGGCCTTGTTCCATTGGTTGCCATCATGTCAAAGCTTGGGCTCGGTTTGCCTGCCGCTGACGTTTTTGTTTTGTTGCTTCTGGTTAGTAAAATTGATAATATAAAAAACGTTTCTGCTACCAGTGTGGCATCTAATCCCCACAGGTCGAAAAATCCACATAGTGCCGTAGATGTTGCCAATTTCAATGTCAGTGAATATCAGGCTGGGAAGTAAGCTGAAGGTCGATGTCACATTATTATTTAAGCAGCACGGGTCAAAGTCGCTAGGTCATTGAAACTGCCGAAAGTGGTTGAACATTTCTGCAGCATGGTATTTGCCGTTTCAGAGCGTCCTACATTCACACGGCAGGCGCCGGCGCCAGTGCTACCCCAACCTCAAACAACAACGACGTCAACCGCAACCTCATCAACAACGACAATCGCCCTTGAATCCTTTAAAGTCCCTCTTTCCAGTCGCTTGGATAGTATCCGTCCAAGGACCACAACCACAGCTGCCATTCCCAGCCAGCTGAAGAATGGAACTCCCACCCCTCCTCCGGCCATTGTACTCGCGGCCACAAATGGAACGGCTGTTCCTGTGACCACAGGCTTGGTTGCTACCACTGCTGCTGGTGGAAGTGTTACGGCCCCAACGGCTGTAGCGGTGATTCAGCAGAAACAGCCGGCGACAGCAACGGGAACGAGAACGGCCCAGCAGGCACCACAGCAAATTGGGCTTGAGTTGATTCTTCCGAACGGCTTAAGAATACCTGTCTCCGCTACCTGCGGTGAGTGTCAAAGGAGCTGCTCATCCGAAATAGGAATTCCTTCACTTTATGATCATTTGCACGCACATTCAAGTGTCTCTTCGCTTGGTTTTGAAATTTTTAAATTCAAAAAATGGATTTTCCTGCGGTTTTAGCCAAGTCTGATGCGCAAATTCAACCGACAACACCGTCGATAACAGTGGCATCTACCGGTGGAATACCGACAACAACAGCAATAAACAAGTTGTCATCGACAGCTACACCTACAGCGGTTACACGGACAGTAACAACAACAACAAGCACCTCGCAACAAATCTGCTCCTGCAGCCGGTCAAAGTGTCTGAAGCTCTATTGCGAATGTTTTGCGGCTGGGAGGGCTTGTGGGGACAGCTGCAATTGTCGACACTGCTACAACAACCTCGCTGACGACATAACGAAACAGACTCGTGATGTCGCCATGCGGACTGCGCTCTCACGTAACCCTCTCGCTTTTAAACCCAAAATTGGTAAGTCATCCCTTTAATCTCTCCATTGCTTTATAACCTCCCTGTCTCTGGAACTGTTTGACTGCAAATACCACTCAAGTTGCAAACATATTAATCCATCCAGTAACCGACTCTTTAATGGCTCCATCTGGCAACTCACCATCAACCGATTCATTAATTGTGTCACCATCCTTACCTCCTGCGTTTAAGCGTTCATTCATCTCTTCCCCCGTTCAGTACCTCCAAGTTCGTCCGACTCTTCATCTTTTTATTAAAAAGTTCGCTCATTCATCCTCCTACTGTTCATCTCTGATGAAATCTTTCTATTCATGGAACTGTCATGTCTGATAATCTGTCCATCCAACCTTTAATCCATTCCAAATCAGATGTCTTTCGTTGCATCCACGTATGCGACCTTGGCAATTGTTGCAGAACGCAAAGCTGGTTGGCAGTGGTTAAGCCCTGTCTTTTGCCTTCTTTGTATAGAAATATCAGGGAAACACGTATTGGGCTGCCGGTGCAAAAGATCGCATTGTTTGAAGGGCTACTGTGAATGCTACCTTGTGAGTTGCCTTTCTTTTTTGTGCTTTTTGTGCAATCAAACGGATTTCTAGAATCTGCCATTTTGCGGTCTCTTGGTTATTAGTAAGTACGCTTGAAATCCAAATATGTCCTACTTCTTTTCCATGGCAGCATATTTTACTCAATTTGGTAGTTTGAAGTGCTTATTATCACGAAGCCGCTTAAGGCACTGGTCCTTAAGAGGGTTTTAATATTTGAGTTAGTTCGACACGCATTGGATAGGTGTAACTTTGTGGAAAATCTTTGCGATGCTCTGGAAACTAAAACGAGAGAGCTAAATACTATATAGTGCCGGAATAAGGAAAAATGAATAGTTCAACAGTTTATGGACACTCATTGAGCGTTTGATACACCTGTTCTTTAGCGGCGTTTCTTCAACTGTTGGTTTAGCCCGTTCTAGCGCAACTGCTTGAAAATTAGGATGCGGTGGAGGAAATGGTTTCAGACTGATCTAGGACTGGGGTTTTCTCTTAATTAAAAGGCAAAAATCCCTTGCAATCAACGTTGCCGCTGTCTCGGCTGCTCCAACGAAGAGACGACGACGACGAATACCAACACTACAGCAACCACTACTACCACCACAAGTACAACCTCTGTCAATGCTGCCTCAAGTGCGACCACCACAACTGCAGCTGGCACGGAACCCATCAAGGAGGTAAGCGATGGCAAAATGTGGAGCTACTTCATTTTCCTCCTCTTTTAAACTTGCCCTTCAATCTGTCAATCTATCCATAAACTTTTCGTTCACTCTCGTGCCCATCTACGTACGTAATCTTCCACCAAACCGCTTGTCCAATCTCGTACTGTTCATTCATCCAACAATCTTTCGGCCCGCTTGTACGCCTTCGATTTTTTCCTCCATTCATAATCGTGTCAAGTTATGTATTTTGGCATCACCGACTCGTTCCTCCATCCTCATCCACCCATCCATCGGTTTATTTTTAATGTCTTTCATTCTCATTCCATTGTTCGTATATTCGTCCATTCTCTTGTAGGTATTCTTTTCTGGTCATCGATGGCATCATCTACACGCCTTTATGTCTGACGCCGATCTGTTTTCCCACCTATGCACAATATTTGTTATACCACTGAGCCCAGCTCAGTTTATCGTTGATTCCTTTTCCTATTAATCTAGCTCCTCGTATTTTTGTCCACGATCTTGTTTTAAACCGTTCATTCGTTCCTCAACTCTCTCATCTGTGTGTAACTTCATGAACTACTTCTTTCTCATTTCACCTGTTAGACATTTTTTTCCTCTACTTATCACATCTGCCTCCTTTCATCAGCCATTTTGTGTTCGATCCGTATGTCTACGAAAGTCTTTTTGTTGAACCCACCGCTGTATTGGCATTTGGCCTAAAAATACTCATTTTTAATCTACTCAATTCCCGTTTTGTTGAACTTGCAAGACTCAGATGTCCTGGCTTGCCTCCCTGGCCACCCGGCAACATGTTGTTGCTGCTGCTGCAGCGGCCGCCGCCGCCGCCGCAGGTGCTGGCTCCACAACTACTCCGATTGGTATAGTTGCCGCTGGTGCTACTACAACTACCACTTCCACCGCTGCTACTATCACCACGACTCCCTCCATCGCTGCCACTGTCACCGCTGTCACTGCGACTCCACGCACCATTACGTTAAATGTGCCTATCAAGGCGCTGGCTGCGGCGAGTGAAACTGGCGGGTAAGCCTTTGGCTTGGTGCCTCTAGGTCCATTTTTTAAAAATGCCTTTGAGACTGCTGCTGCCTTGAAGGTTCACTGTCTACCACCCAGGACTTCACCTCCCTAGTTGTTATAGGTTGCATGCAATTGTTAAGTGGTATTTCAATGCAACGATGCTTTTAAATTTCGTATTTTCAACTGTAATGGGTGTTACGGAGAAGAAAAGAACTTATTGAACGTGCTTCATCCACGCGAATGCTCTACTACTTGTCTTACTCTGTTGAATCAATTTGACTTTCTGCGCAAGGCGGAAGGATGTTTTACAACTTGACCCAGGTGGAATTAATCAGCTGAGCGTACAATTTCGCCATCTTTTGATGAAAGTTCCAAATAGCGAAAAGTAGCAGATTCCCCAATTACTGGTACTGTGCCATAGTTTACACAAGCACGTTCATCCCGATAGAAGTTGAAGTCATGCGCAGCCCTTGGTTTTTTAGATCATATTGAGAAATTCGATAGCACATTCACTGGTTCTTGTGGCTTTCAGTGCTCCCTTATGTTGGGAAAAGGCATTTTACCAGGAAAGCAGCTCATCGGCGTAGTCGAATTCACTTTGATAGTACAGTGTGACAAGCAGAATTTTTTTTAAGAATGCCTCTTAGCTGCCGATTTGACCATCTGAAACACCTAGGAATGTAATTTGAACCTCTTAAAGTAGCTGTGTCCGTGCTTATCGGTGTGAGTCTTTCGCATACTCGTTCCTATCTCTAAACTACTCGCTCGCTTTTGGTTTTCTCCTTGAAGCCCAATTCATATGGACAATAAGGTATCAGTTTTCCTTTCAATGATCAATTGGCATCTTATTTATTGTCAAACAGTGTGATTGCACACCCGGCGGGTTCCTCCGCAGACATCCCACCCCTTCTCCTTCATCAGTCCTACCTTGCGGCTGCTGCTGCGGCAGCAGCAGCAGCAGCAGCGGGAGGAGCGAATCAGACTCAACAAGATCTGCTCAAATGTCTCAATACTGTCTTGCCTGCTGTCCAATCCCAGTCTCAGCTGCAATCTCAAACACCCCACTTCCTCATTCCTGGAGTTGTGCAGACCACGGTAACCGCGGGTAGGGCAGCCGATACTTCTGGAACAGAAACGACAACGTCAGCGACGTTATCGACACCTGTCTCGAAGTTGTCTCCACCGCTGTCCATTGTGGTTAGTTTTGATGATTTAAATATTCTTGGGGTAGCCTAGCTAATGACGACATTCGCTTGACAACACCGGTTGTGAAAGCCGAGTGGTGTAAGATAGGTGAATTCCCTTAGAGCGTTTTTCTAGAAGCAAAAATGTTGTAGGACAGGTCGGATGATGCACGATATTTCTCCAAGGCTGCACTTTTTCTTTTATCATCATTTGTATTTCAGTACTGTCTCTCTTGAAGATTTATCCTTAATTTTTTGTAACCTTTGGATGCGTCTGCTCTTCGGGTGGTTTTCTTAATTCAATGCTTGTGAAGTATAGCTGTGGGCATTATGGAGTTGTCTCGTCCCATAACTGCAAGTGAGAAAGTTGCCCAAGTGGCTTATTTTCGACAGTCCTTTCCTTTGAGTCTATAGGCCCGGCTAATCACAGTCTATCCTCCCTATTGATCACTCAATGGCAGAATTGTCTTTCTCCGGGGTTAATTGTTTGTCGTTGTCAAAAATATGGTGCACTGCTTTTCCCAGAGGCCTTGTAAATCCAACATTGGACTGGATTCGGTGGCATTCAATACTAGTTTTATGAGAAGTGGTACTTACAGTGTTTGAGTAACATCTCTGGCATCTTTGCCTTTTAGACGAAAACCGAGAGAGTAGATGACGAAGTTAACAATGAGACAGCAACTTCATCTGGAGCATCTCCAGGACGCCTGAACGATGATAGCACTGATGATGATGACGAAAAAAACGACGTCGGCATTGGCGATGGGGAGGACATGAATGAGGAGGACAATTATAGCGGATACACTGAGGAGGAGTTGGCCTTCATGCAACGTCTTCAACAGAATCGCAACATCACCGCGGCTCCTCCCACTGGTATTTCTCAGGTTTGTCATCCTATGTGGTGGTTTTATTGTGGTCGATTGCCTTCACTCCTGCATTAAACAGGTCCTTAAATCTCACTACTTTTTCCCACCTAGATAGAGTACTCTGGTCTTGCATTTCTACCTTAACGTTCATGTGGCAGCTTTGCGAGTCCAGGACCTGTTTCATGTGAAACAAATTATAATCCTTTACCACCTCTTCAGCTTTGATCATGGAGACTGGTTGCTTTTTGTCAATACCGTCTGCTTATTTCGATGATTGTCAGTCAAAAATGCGGCGGTATTATGAGGGTTTTAGTTGTTTACTTGTCTTGGCCTGAACCAGAGGTTGCCTGCAGCATTCTTCACGGCTTCAACGTTAAAATGTGGAAGCGATAAAACTAGGATCCTAATGTGTAAGTTGATTTTGGTGACATCGTTTTGGATGTAAGGGATTGATAATTAAGATCCCTTTCGTGGCTGGACTCCTGCTATCGTTAGTTGTAATACAAACAATTCCTGCAGAGCGAGTCATCTGAAGTAATGCTGAAACGGTGATACCCGTCCACTGCTGTCTATAATTGGCCAACGTAGCTTTGCTACAAATTTTAAAATCATTATGTTTTTGTCTGCATTGACTATTATTAGAACAAAAAAATTTGACTAAACTGTCGAGATTCTGAGGAAGAAGATGTTTCTGACGCTAAGGACTGAAGCTGCTGAAAATTGGTTGTCAGATCTGTGTTCAGATGTTCTAACTTTGCATATTTGGTGACAGGAATTTCTCATCGAAGCTGACATTAATTTTATAACCCTTCCTACTTGTCAAGCTAATGAAGAAGGAGGATGTCTCAATCGACACCGACGATACAGTTGCCGCAGCTGGTGCTACCACGCGTGAATCCCCCCAATCACTCCCCTCTGATGGGGGTGAAAGAGAAGTGCCACCACCGCCTCTTCATGAAAGTCTTTTCTCATCTTCGTCCTCCTCATCTTCCTCTTCTGCCGCTTACTATCCTGATACTGCCAACTCCTCCTCCGTCACCGCCCTGCTCCCTGGTGTGCCCCTGGTACAGCATCAGTCGCAGGTGCAGGAACCACAATCTGGAATCACCACCTCTTTGAATCGGATAGTGCAGATTGGGCCAGAGAATAAGCTTCCCGTGCTCTCTTATTCTGCACCGCCGTCATTGGGTCCCGCCTCTGAGGGGAGGCTGCTTGGGGGCCGGTATGTTACTATTTGTTCTCGAGGCATTTAAGGGCATATTTAGGTAAACTAGATACTTCGGGGGGTTTGTGGAGTTGGATTGATAGTTGATGTACTGTTTCGAGTGTTGATTGTGGCGTTTCATTAAGACTTAACCACACCCAACTTGGGCTCCCCTTATTTTAGGGAAGGCAGCTGAGCAATCGAGAAAAATTTGGTCGGTGGTGTTAAATTTTTTTTTGTGAACGTACGATGAAAAGCACTTCAACTACGCAACCGACTTCGTCATGCTTTGTGGTCTCTAGTTTCGTCCCAAGAAAAAGCGTCTGTCGGTGATGTGAATACGTGGTTTGCATGTCCCTTTCCCTTTTTGCGCGATACTGGTATAATTTCGAGGGTTGACTGGGTCAGGAAACCTCATTACAGCGGTGGTCTCTCTTCAAGTACGAAGTTTCGTGTTCACAAAAGCGAATCGGATGATGGTGGTGTTGAGAGGTTCAATTGTTGTCAGTTCTGTTCTGATCATTGCAGAACTACGTTGACACCGGAAGCTCTTTGGCCGGTAAGCACTCTGAGTTGGTTTATGGGCTGCTGGTGGTGCTGATGCTATGAGCTTAAGTTCGACATAATCCTTAAACTCATCGTGTAGGATCCCTCGTTTTCTGCGTTTTTTGGTGCCGTTGATGTCCCGAAATCGCGCAAACCTCTGAGTAATTTATTGTTTGGCCGACCTTATATTTGAGAAGTCAAAATTATTATACTTGCAGTTGTAGCGCGCTGGAGGTGCGTTTCATGCGCCGCAAGATCGATGACCTGGAGGCCCGGGTAAGTCAAATGACCCAGCTTATCCGGGCCCAGGGCGAGATGCTGACCAATCTCACTGAGATGCTGCAACGACAGCATCAGCCGTAGGCACAGACGCAGCTCCAAGCGTCACTCAAAGGCAACTCAAACTCAGTCATTCGACCATCCAACCATTCCTTTCCTCCCCTCTCTAATATGTACATAATGCGTCCCCCCTTTTCCTTACCCAGTGAATGACGGACTGACTTACCAAACTGACAAACGATCGCTATTAACATCGTCGTCCATTATACATTACCATTACACAAATATACGCTCACATCTACCTATACGTGCATACTATAAATATTATTGTATCCTAATTCTTTATATGCATATACATGCAGACACACGATGCGAACAATAAAAACATGAGGAAAAAGGCACCTATGGCTTTGCTACTCCGTCTTTTGCCTGCCGAGGGGAGTGGAGAAGAGGCGCTGTTAGTACTGCTGCAGAGGAAGGAGGGTGGAAGGTGGACAGGAAGGAGGATAGGGAACGGAACCTCCTTCCGCGACCAGAGCAATGGTAGTAAATGGAGTTGTATCTGCCAAAAGAGTTGTGGTTGAAGGAGCTTTCAGTTTGCTACTGCAAGTTGAGGTTTGCTATGACATTTAGAGGTGAGGCAGCTCAAAGCTGCTAGTTGGAGAACATTTAGGCGATTGATGATACGGGGCAACTATCAGAGCGAATCCTCCGCTTACTTATATGGATCTGTAAGCAATGTGGACAGGTTCTCAGACCTCTTTTGATTTTGTTGAAATGAGTAAAATGAGAAGCTCCATATCGTCTTCTACCCATATCATGAGAACCCTTTAAAAAGGCAGAAATTCAGTAGTCCTTAGGTGATGTCTTCTCCGTCCGAACTTTTGTTTGCCACTATCAGAAGTGTAAGGCAGTCAACTTATTTTTTGTAGTTTTATTCCCTTACTGATCCAGAACTAGTTCTATCCTTATTTCTCTGGCACTGATCAAATTTGTCCCGATTATTTTTTATTCAAACTCGTTCGTTAGCCACTTCTCATGCAATTTGTGATCGTCCAATGTTAAAGCAACGATAAGCACTCTCACATCATCCTCTGTTGGTATAATGAATAAAAGTGATGCAAATAATTCAGAAGCTACTCACAGAGTATCTCCCCATTGGTACTAAAGAGAATAGAATAGGATATCTTTTGATGCTAAACAGTGATGGACGAAAAGTGAAGTAACGTTCGAAGTAAATTCCAATGGTGATGACCAGGTAAATACTAAAAATGTACTTGGAATTAGTAGAGCGATAGTGAGCAAGGTATTTACTTGAAAACTTAACAGGATCCAAGTAAAAAGTGCCAAACGCAGCTAGGATAAGGTCTCCAAATATTTAGGTACTCTTCACATCCTCAATAAGAAAAGGAATTATCGAAATAGGTGGAAAGAAGGAAAAAAGAAAAAGTGTAAAAAATAGAACGGTATTGTGTTTCTTCAAATGATGCCCAAAAAAATTAAAAATTTTTCGCTTACGACATGGAGATTAAGAACCTTTTTAAAGTAAAGCAACGCTAGAATACTTTAACCTAAGGAACAAGGATGAGTAATATTTAACTATTAATAGGGCATTATTAAGGACATAAAATCGGAGCAAAATGCGGTTATCATTTTTAATACCAGTTATTATCGCCTTTCCAAAGGGTGCAAAACCAAAAGCACCCTCGCAGCCTAACTGTTTGAGAAAACGCTTCAAAATTACCCAAGCAGCTATTATACAACCAGTAAAATTAAATCCTAGGTGAAATTTGTACTTTTTATTAATGACACTTCATGGTTTTGAAGCCAACCGGTGAACAACTGTCGCCTGTTCAAATGCAACTCTAGTATCGAGCTGCAATTTGGGCTTATACGATGACAGGCTACTGGAAGACTTTAGTAATACACAGGATCCTATTTATTTGCAGGAATATCTGGAATGCAGAACTGCGCAATACCATCATCGTACTATTTAACCCACAATAAAATATCCACAATGAATATTTTATTGACTCATGAACAAATACCAAAAGGAACTTAGCAATCACAAGAATAATCACTCACTAATTGAGAAAACCGGGCGTCTGAGTGACCTCAGCATCGGTATGTCAGTTGCAAAATGGATGGTTAACTGCGGTTCTTAGCATCTCTTGATGCTTGGGATGCGTTCTAAAAATTTCATTCTGATTTGAATGATTTCGGAATTTCTTTTAAGGAAACCTAGGCAGGAATACTCAATCAGACAAAATTTACTGCCGTATCATTTTCGACTAAAATATCCTGCGAAGTCAGCTCTCTTACAGATACATCCTGCAGATCGGATCCGCGAAAAATGACAAAATCGTAGACCTGGGGATATAACTGATCACCATTTGCAGAATTTATTACACGAACTACAATAGACGAAATATAATTAATACCTTTCGAAAGAGTGACTGTATAGTGCTTGGTATCGATTGCATGCAATTTTCCAACATAACCAAGGCCTGATTTTGAAACAATGCTCAGCATTTTATTTGAAAAACGACTCCCCATTCTTGGGTCGCGACAACCAATCGGGAGTTCGAAATTAGCGCATTAAATTTGCAGCGTCTGAAAACGTAGCAGCAAATAAACTTTAAAAAGATATTCGCAACATGTTAGAGAGTAACGCGCAGGTTAACTAAGTGTCGTCAACACGGCGCAGCCAAAATTACAAGCAACATTATCATGTTCTGAATCTAACATTAGTAATGATTGTAACAAAATAAATATTTGCATATTTCATTAGCAAATTTTATACTTTTACATATGTCGAAGTAAATTGAACGTTTTGCACCTTTTTATATCACGTAATTTTTAACAATGGTTCCCCTAGCCTGTAGGCCTTATAGCAGGTATTATGGTTCGTACGCGTATGTCCTACTATGGTAGCCTAAATCATTACCCAATTTAGTAAATTTAGTCATATTCGACATTTTAGTGGTTTATTTATACAGCCGTTTATTCAAGGTCATGTATCAGCTGTTCCAAGATAAGCGTTCACTTTAACTGCCAGTTCGGACTGTTATCTCTTCAAAATATGGGTAATTGCTTTAGGCGTCTTTACCGGAGATCGAATTCTTCGGAAGACGGCCACAGGCGTAGCGGCCATTCCACATCTTCTCAACCACCAGCATGGTACTTGGTAAGCCATTCTGCCCCACTTTTGGGCTTTTATTTTGTTTTTCTTCAGTAATTACTTCGGAATCAAGTAATGCTTTACAAGAATTGTGCTTGTACTGTAGTTCTTTCTGGATGTGCCTCTGGTTTCTTATTCCCATGTCCGCTTTAACTTGTAGGCATTTACAATTTTAAACATGTTGACAATTATGAGCACAGTTTTAAGCTTTGAGAACCATTTACGGTCGCCATTGCCTAATATATTTAATTGAAACTTGTTCAGTTAAAGTTCCTTCATTTTGTTGCCTCTATGATTGAGTTGCATTTGTTGCATCTTTTTTGTTTGCTATACCTTGATACGGACCATAACTGTCAGACAACTTCGTGTGAGATTTTCGCTAGAATACGTAAGTATGGTCACAACTGTAATTTGAGTTCAATAAAGATCCTTCAATTCCTTACAGGAAAATGATCCAATTCTCCATCCAGCTCCTGGATTATCCGTTCCATTCTCTCAACTTACCGAGGATCAACAAGTTGCTATCGCAATGCGAATGGCATTAATTTCTACATTGCCCGCCTTCATTTATGCTGGTGATGAGAAAGATAGACTACCCGAGTGAGTTTTGGTTACATTTTATTGCCTTTTAGAGCTTCCGTAAGTATTTTAGCAAACTCTTCTCGTTCCTGCATTACGGTTCCCACTGTTGGCGAATAAGTCGTGATAACGATGTGTGCTTTTTTGCTTTTACTTTAAGTCTCATTTTTCTGTCATTTATTCCGACATTTTTGGTGCTTTTGTAGGCAGTTAGGGGTTTAATACCTTATCACAGTTGCTACAACGATCAGAACACTGCCTTTGCTCTGAATAAGCGTTACCCTTGCTCATCTGAATAAATATGAATGCTTTAGTGATTGTGCGAATGAGAAGGTAGGGCTAAATATGTTTGCTGCAGCATTTAGGCTGTTCTATTTTTTGAGCTACTTAACCAACGAGGGTGCTCTTTCTTATAAGACCTACTAGATCGATGGCTGTCAGGTATCAAGTCTCATTAAGAGGTAGCTCTTCCCTCAGACGTAAGAAAGACATCGAAATTTCTTTCGCTACTTTGACTTACCTTAGCTATTTCTTCTGTTAGTCCATTATTGCCTTTTGGGCAACTGCATCTATGATCGTTCAAGAGTACCTAACCGTAATGACAAACTCCTCACTCACTATTACTTATTCACCATGTTATACAACAAAAACTCGTCAACGTGAATCCACCCTTCATTGATCGTCACAGCAATGAAATTTTTGGTGTTTCTTCCATCTAGAGACTTCTGTTTATTTCATGCTTTCCGTGTCCTTAAATTATCCACCTTTGGCGGTCCTGCTAAGAATTTTTTGATTTTCTAAAGACCTTTTCAGACTTTTACTGAAACTGGCATTTATTAGGCTGGTTTAGTTCAAACTACTTGAGACTTGGTTTTAACTGATTTGTTTATTTTACTCTTTAGTAAGCATCCAATAGGGCCAATCTTTGGCTTTTACGTTTTAGATGAGCTGCTTTTTGATTGCTTCTTTCCTTTGCTAACACCTCCTCAGTGTAGGCAAACTATTCGATTCGTTGGAGCGGAACGAAACTTGTTTTCTAGGGGACAGATTCGCTGAACATTTGTAAAGTCTTGGTGAATGCTGAAGTGTGGTGGGTGATTGCGTAATTTTGCAATTATGTGAACCATCATCTAGGCTTGAGAATGACTTACTCTCAAAGCTAATCAGTTACGTAATCGTTCATTAAGTGATTTATGAGTCCTTGGGTGAGTTCTCGTCTGCCGTAGATCCTTCATTTCTGTTCCGAGTAAAGAGAGGACGACCGAACACTGGCGACAAACAGTGCTTCAATGTGTTTATGGCGTGTGTATGTGTGGGGTGTGGTGGAGTGCAGCGGTAGTGGAGGTCGCGTTTATCACATATCAATTTCCAAATAAAGACTTTTGCCAGCTTTGTGTGTGTGTGGATTCGCACTTCAAGCTTCTCATCCAATCCTTGTGTTCACACCTTTTTTGCGTCTCTTCCTCCTCGAAGGTGGTTTTAATCGGCTATACTCATAAACCTCATTTCTCTCCTCCAAATCAGTGCTCGTCTTTAATCTGCCACATGTCACCGGGGCCAGCTTTTGTCACTTTGATCTGATTCTTAGTGTTTTATAGCTATGGATCTGTTTTCTGGTGCTAAAGACGATGGCTTGATGACGCAGAGGCGGCGGAACGCCAAACTCCCTTTAAGGAGGGACATTTATTTTGAAATTACCACGAAAGTCTTGACTTCCTTTCGCACCCTTTTTAAGCTAGCTTTGAGTTGGATTGGGTTACAACTGCTGTGATGTGAGGGTGTGATTATCCAGTTACCGTATTGGTTAGAAGGTTGGAAGTCAAAGATGTGAAAACTGTAACCATGGGACAAAGTTCAGTCCATCTTGGTATGTGGTCGTCGTCCCTTGCGCTGGGTGTCACTGTATCCGCCCTTGCGACGGGAGAAGTGTGACGTTAATGGCAGTTGAACGAAATTAAAAATGACTTGACTAATTGACATCTCTCTCATTTATGAGAACTCATTAAGGTAGTCCCTTTTCCTCTAAATTGTTGGGTAATGTGGTATGGGAGATGTACCTCATAGTGACCACTTGCCTCAATAGGAGGAGAAAGAGAACAATGTAGCGTAATCCTTGTGTGTGAGACGAATGGGTTGGGTACTATGCCTGCGTAGAAGGGTCTGCGGCAACCTCCTGAGACCTAAGTTATGGTATGCCAGATGAACACACGACCAGAGCTATCATTCCTCTATCACAGAGGCTCCTGTCTCCTGTGAGTTTCCCGCGGTCCTCTTTCCGCCTCAATTACAACAAAAGCCAAACATATCACACGATAGTTTCCCATCACAGCGAAATGGCGATTGGGCGGTGCATATCACAGATTTCGATAAGTCTGCGAGTTGTTACATCCTTTTTCTTAAGTTCGCTACAAAGGTCTCCATTTGTTATGCGTCATTTGAGGCTCGACGCTCCTCTAGACGCCCAACTAACTCGTATGGCAGTTTTTTTATCAACCTACCAAATAAAATGCTTGATTCGATTTGAAATCTCTTGAGTGTGTCTAGTAGCTCTTAGACGGGGTTAATGCATTCACAGTGGCTCTCCCCTCATTTGAGGGTTTTAATTGCAATTTTTGAAAAAAAATTGGGTGTTAAAGGCGACTTGCTCTCCTTGACGGCCGTTCTCCAGGTTTCAAAGGTGTCAAAACCACCAAGAAGCGTACCTGGTCCAAATTTTTAATTATCTTACAGTCGATTCCCTGATCCCACCTTTCATAATGACTCGGTGTACTATGGAACTGGTTCAAGTCATGATTATGAATAAGTGACTTGCTCCAATGCTCGATCTCCTTCGTCCAACAGGTGCGTGATCTGTATGTGCGATTATGAACCCGGCGACGAGCTGCGTAAGATGCCTATGTGCTCGCACATCTTCCACCGCGCCTGCATCGACGACTGGCTGACACGTTCGCTCACGTGCCCCTCCTGTCAGCAAGAGGTTCCCGTGCCCTCTTCCACGAATCCCACCACTCCCGCTGCCGTTACCACCGCCGGTGCTGCCACTGCCACGACCTCTACCGGTGCAAGATACACCACAGCTGGAAGTGCTGGAAGGGCGGATGAAGGTGGTATAAGTCAGCGATCTGGTCCTTCTAACATAGATTTGAGGCAAGAAGCGCAGAGAATTAAGGAAAGATCGAAGGTGCGTATTTGTCTTCCGGATTAGTCATCTTTCATCAACCCACTCACCCAGATGGTTGTAAAGCAATGCGTTTAATGGAAGTGTTAAGTGAATTCGGATAGCCGACAACACCGCTTGTAGAGTAGCCTTGGTGTCAATTCCATTCTCACTTCTCCACTACGATAAGTTTGAGTTTATCCACAATTTTGGACACTTCTGATCGTTGAAAAGAAGATTATTCCAGTAGTACAGGTTAAGAACTGAAGGCGAATGCGGTACGTAAGATTTGATCGTAAGATAAACATGACAACCTCTTTGGTCCCCTTTTTCCAATTTCTATAGTTTGAGGCCACGAGTAGCAGTGGTGCGAGTTTTGTATGCGATTGTACACGATTGAGCAATCGGTTACGAGTTGGTCTGCTTGGAAGATGTACGTGGGCAGTATTTCCTGAACACATTCTGTATCCAGAAGGCTGTTCATTTTCAACCTTCCCATGTGTTTCAGCAGCTGTAGAAAATTGCGCATCTGTTCTCATTTCTCCACCGAAGACCTTACTGCTCCGAATAGACAAAGCTATTGGCAGCCATTTAGGTAGCATCAGGCGTCGTGCCCAAAAAATGTTTCCAATGTGCTCAAATATTAGTAGTCCCCTCATAATATTAGTTAAATTTGCGACAGCAGTGATACTGAACTATGAATGAAGCCACCTTTAAGCGATGGAAGAGTCTTTGGGCGTTTTTTAAAGTCTCATGCAACAGCCCTGCCTTGCAAACTGCGCCGGAGGTTCCCTTCGTTTTATTTTCCAATGTGTGTAGGACTGCTTTGATTGTCAGCTGAAGGTTCATTAAGGCGATGGAAGTGCAACTTCCGATTCCCAACTTATTAAGGTGCAGCAAATGCGAACTGGTGCGTCGTATTAGAGACCGACAGCTTCCTAGAACGTATTCAATTCAGCTTACTTGAGTTCGTCTTTAACTTTGGTTCTCTCGGTCATTGCATTTGCTGTTGGCTGCATAATTTCAGTTTCGGGCAAAAAGATGATTTTTCGGGTACGATGGTTTGGTAGATTTTGTACACGAACCCTTAGTAAGACCTTGCCACCACGGGAATGTCCTCAAATGAAAAATCGTTGATGCTCCTTTTAGGACGTGGGAGACCACCTGAACTGCCTGAGTTCATCAATCGTCTAAGAACTACTTCAAGTAGTTCTGTCTGCAAGAGTAAGGAGGAGTCCTTTAGTAGAGTTTTCTTAGCCTTGTTGTTCCGTTGTAGCTTTCTCTTATCTTCACATTTGTGCTGAGACAGTTTCCTGCTCACCCTCGTTCAGTGCTTTGGTCTCAGGTCAGATCAATCAAAGTAGCGCACTGTGTTTGCTGTGCATTCATTAGCCTCCCCAAGCAACTCGTTTGATGTTGTAAGCGATCCGCTGCGAAGCAAGCTAATGGTCCCAAGCACTCCAACAAAGACAAATGGAATAGTTGGGTCGCTTTTACAGCAATCACGAACGTATGTCAGACCATTTTAAGGCAAATGCAATCAGCTAGGCCTATTTTTCCATCAAACTATGTTCAGCTCTCTCTTTAGCCAGTTTTTTAATCTAATATTGGGGTTTAGTTTGACTAACGCATCGCAACCACGCGGAATCAAAATACACGAAATAACAAGGCTATCCAAAGTGCAAACCGAAAGGCAAGCAGTTAAGTGCTGGTTGTTCTGAGGATGCCGCCATTTATCAGAGACCTCGTGTAGCATAAAACTAACATTGGGGTAAAAATAATCACGAGTTCGAAGTCTCCCTACCGTCATTGGTATTTCATCCCCATGCGTCGGCGATGCAGTGATCAGGGTTAGTGGCTCTAAGCATGCTCTGCTATTACTTAATTTGTTTCAGGCGAACGTTTCATCGTCTATTCCTTCTCAGGAACAGCGGATGTTACGGGCAAGGGAGGAAAAGGAACTGCGGCGCTTTCAGATCCCTTCCCTTTCCTCCTCCTCCTCTTCTTCCTCATCCCCTTCTACTTGACTTGATACGCACGTTTCGCTTACTGTAGATTGCTTTGGTAGGCGAAATTTGCTCTTTTTATACAAGCCTCAATTAGTGCTTTGTACACATGTTACGAGCTGCTGCTTGTTAGTCTGTTTACCTACTTGCTGGTGCTACTTTTTTCCTGCCAAGATGATGGTGTACACATGTAAATTCTTCTTTCACTTCACCACGGCTTTTCCCTCGTTTGTTTCAGTTTCAAACAATCGTTTGCTACTTTATTTTAGTAAGTAGTTGTTTTCACTAGAAAAGCCTTTTTTATACGAACGTGCAGTTGGATCTCAATTGTAATGGGATCTCAAAGGAAAGAAGTTCATGTTTGAGTAGGTTTATGAGTGTTTTTTTAATTACTTCTACTTATTTTTAAATCAGTAAACAGGTTATTTATTGGTGGCACTGTGAAAAATGCTTAAATTCAATGAATTTACGTCGTTATAGGTGGGATTGGAAGGGGAAGTTATGTCGTTCTAAATGCACCAACAAGGCAAGAATGTTTTTGCTTCTAAGTTTTGTGTCGGAAGAAATTAGGGTGTCGGAATTTACCAGCTTCCATTACCTTCTTCCCTTCTAAGAAGAAGATAGCTTTAGAAAGTCTTGTGGTTTGTCATTGTAACTACTATACGGATTTTTTCTGTTTTTTGGAGCAACATTTTCCTTGATAATTTTGAAACACGAATTTTGGTATGCTTGTCTAAGGGCTCAGTAAATTTTCTTACAATTTTGCTTTTGATGTTGCTGACTTTTTGGACCTGTAAAACTGCCTCAACAATGGATCAGGTAACAATAACAGTTTCCACAACATTGCTGGCCAAGGGAGTGCGCTTGCTTGTCTATCTCCTTTTGACTCTCTCAATTCTGTCAGCCACATCGGTATTCAACACAATTTTCTTCCGCATTGTCACTTTTAAACCTGGGATCATTTTACCCGTCTCAGAAACTTTTTTAAGTTGCCTCTCCAAACTAATTCTCTTCGTTTTTAAATCCTTAAGCACAATTCGAGCGAGCTCTATCACTTGGTTGCGTTTTCACTCCGCCGAGCACCGCATTTGTTTGTTGTGTTTAATGCAACTCCATCAGGCCGTTCCAGGGTCCGTGGTTTGGTAATGTTGGTCCACTTTAAATTACCGTAAAGGCAACAACAAATCAGTGCAACGAAGTGTGCTAGTGGAACTTGAATCCACTCTGCTTTTGCAGGCACTGTGCAGCAGGCCTCCAAAGCTCCACCTTCTCCGATTTGAAGGCAACCTCTTCGCCAGCCTAAACAAGTAGTCCATAAAAGCAGTTTTGTTCGGAACAGCGATTCCGATTGACTACACGCCTCTATTGACAGCTTCATGGGGAGAAGAATGTGGGGAGGAGGTTGGATGAATAATTATGTTTGGTCTTTGGTGCTGATATAAAAGTGTCCTTGCATTACTTTGTTGATATGAGAACCATCAACGAAGTCCATCATCCTTTCGCGTTGGTCACACTTTACCAACCCATTTTTAGTCTCAATCTGTCTCTTCAATGTCGTATGCTGGCATGTGAGGAACCTTGTAATCACCAAAAACTGTGCGCCTTACCTCCGGAGACTTAGCGGACCGCGATGATACAGGCTCTCGAAGGACCATTCGTCGAGGTCAAGACGAGGGAAATCATCGAAGTGGTGCAATATCTTAGCTCCATATCTGAGCGGTACTGTTGACTGCCAGCCAACATTCACTTCTTCCAAACGAGATAGCACGCATTTGGCAAGTGGCTTCTGGAGTTCTGCTGTTAAATTCCATCCTATATCTAAGGGCAGAGGATCTGGATCCACCTTCGGTTGGTGCCACTCGGCACGCTCGGTGGAGCACACAGGAATGCACGCAAATGTCCACGCTTACCAGTAATGCCTAAAACACGAAAACCATTAAAATCGGTGCTGTGATTGGTGAAGCCACTAGTTAAATGCATAGCCGAAAAGAGGACACTGAAATAGCTGCTTGAGCTCAAAATTTTCTTTTTTTCTTCTTCTTGTTCTTCTCCTCTTCCCTTTTCGAAGGACTGAATTCTTCTGCACTCCTGTTCCCTTGCATAGCTTTTTTAAAATTGTTTCTTCCAGATTTGATTGCTGTTTTGGTGCCTTCTTCAAATGTTTTATTCCATAAGGTCTGGCGTCAGTAACTGTCTTCAAACATGGGCCCACCTGCTGCTCCGTACACCACTACCAATGCCTTAGAGCCAGGCGTCGCTTCACTTCATCATCATGACGAGGCCGTTAGTCTGTATTCATGCCTGTGGTCCCTCCGCTCCACGGACTGCAGACGAATCCACTGATAAAATTGGGTTCACTGCCTCTCGGTGCAAATTGCGAATGGAAACAGGATTGTGACTGTGCAGGGGGCACTCCTTTCTAGAAAACTGTCAAGACTGGACGATGGCACGAAACTGAGAAGTGAGCCCAACGTCAGACCTCCATTTGTTCTTGAATTGCGTCCTCCTGTTGTTGGTTGTCCAAACTTCAAGTGATGCCTGTGTGAGTGGATTTGTGAGAGGAAAGGAAATGAAAGAACAAAGGTGGAATGACGATGGGGGCTCTTTCGTTGTACCATTTCCTTCAAGGGTAAATGACAAAAATCGCACCAACTTGTTGCATTAGTCTGGTGATGTCTGCTGACCTCATTAACATGTTCCCTCTTGGATTCTCCAAAGGTTTACTTTTTTGAAGCCAAAGGATAAACTGGAATTGGTAGCTCTCGCTGTCGTTCATTTGTTCAGATTGGGGAATTTTGGTTGAGGCCACCATTTCTACGAGAAGTTCAATCAATTCAACTGCAAAAACATGTTGCAAAACAGGTTTCACCTCACTGTCAGTCAGTTGGCGTCTAGGATGAGGATTTTGTCTCCCAATTTCGTTAAGTTGCAAAGGGATAACCTTAACACTCTCATAGGCTGACAAAGGATCGGCAGTTTGGGGCCCAAAAAATGAGGTCGACTATGTCTTCATTATAACAAAGGCAGCAATAGAAAGAAACAAGATTGAAGGCTTCACGCGGATCCGTCTTAACATTTCGATGCCGACGTAACACTCACTCACTCACTCACTCGAGGCATCCACCCAACCACCACACTCGTGGTTCCACCCTCTTGCTCACTGGCCTTAGCTTCACTCCTCCAGTGTTGAGGATTGGAGAGGAGCGGAGGCAGTCGCCCTCGTTTCACGTCTGCTCACCATGGCAACTCGCATGCTGTCACGTGCACCCCTCGACACAGTGCTCAACACATGCCATGACAAGGTCACAGGTGAGTGGTGCACGTGAGAGTAAGGCGCAGCCCTCCACCACGGTGCCAACATCAAGTTACTCCGCCCGATCAGCATCCAACGTCCCGTCAACCCTCCATGGAGGACAACAATCACCCTCGAGGAAGGGTGATGAGGGTGGCACTGGTGTGTGGGTGGAGGGAGCACCACCATCCACCACTCCTTGTGCATTGATGAGCGTTTGAGGTTACTTTCGCAGGTGTAAGTGAGCGACAACTTGTCATCGACTCACTTCAGTTGGGTGGTGAGTGGTTGAGCGTGAGGTATGGGAAGACCGCGACGGAGGGTTTGCAATGCGATCGCAAACGCGTCACACTTCGTGCTGATAGGATCGTAAAAGCATAAATTCTGCTTTAGTCGAGTTCACCACACTCGGTCCCTTTGGCCTCCACCTCACCGCAACTTCCTTCACTGAATACACAGAATCAAGGTCACGCATTTCCTACAAGGCAAAGAATTACCAATCATTTTCTCACGTTTTTTTCTTCCGTCGTCCTTCTTTCACAACACAATTTTTCATCAGGCTCTCAGTTTCACCCCACATGGACTATGGTACTCTCGACTGTAAAAGGATCTGGCTAGAAATACGAGCGTTGCGACACAGAACATTAACCAATCACTTTTAAATAGGGTAGCAGTGATCTGTACAAACTCTTATTCATCGCCAAAGTCAGGAATTCGGTTAAAGAGGACCACTTTGGTTCGGAGCAGTACGCATTGATGGACTGGAAAACTTGCGAGGCGTCTCCATACAACCCTGGAATTGGGAAGATGCACGTCTTGTCGAAACTTGTAGCGACGTAGCGAAAATTTACACCCAACTTGAGGGTGAGGAGGAGTCGCTGTCGTGGACCTGCGACTAGATCTCCCCGAGGAGCCTTAGAGCAACTAGTTGCCAAAAGTAAGGATTAATGAGGCAATTACTTCATTACAATAAGTGCCTCATCCTCACAGTCCGTCTTGTAGGATTTGGATAAGACTTTCATGTTATCACAGACTCCCTTCGGGGCCTTGAAAGTGTTTGATGACTCGTTTGCTTCCGCATTTAATTAAACGACGACTTGTTCTCCGAGTTCTGATGCTTCTCTCTCGCCCTTTCCGCGTGTCAGCAGGGTGGTCTTTCCCACACTGCTTTACTTTCTCCCGTATTGAGGAGTTACTTGCAGCGCCTTAATTAGTCTTTTTTGGTGTCTAAACAAATCCTTCTACAAGTTTAGCCAAAGGGAGAAAGTTATTCTATGCTTTTGGAATGTAAATCGCCATGAACTAAGACGTGAAATCATTAACGAAACAGCTCCGATTACGCATAAATCGGTAGATGGGGATGCATGCATGGCATGACTTGCTTCTCACTTGATCAGTAGAGTTTTTCATCCCATCAACTAGTCGCGTGTTGCTGTCAGAGAGGTTGAATTGGATGACAACAAAATACCTGCTGGAGGTTTGGGTTTTGGGGAGAATTGCATTTGCTTTCTCCATTCAGGCGAGGAAGAATGCTGTCTGTCGCAAGGATGTTTAACTGCTCGGGCACTGCTGTGCATGTTGGTTGTACTTCCGCTCTGCGAGGCATAAGGTTCGCGCCGCACGAGCAGTCCTTTCCCCTGGGACGAGGCTTTAAAGTTCTAATGGAACATTGTAACATCTGAGCAGGCAGTCTCCCTTCCCCAGCCGCCCCCTATTCCGTGGTCTACAGAAAAGTTCTTTACAGAACTGCCCAGCGTACCCATTTTGAAGGTGTCAACCAAGTGAATGCGTGGTGCCGCTTTTTCCACGGGTGGATGTGACTGTTCGGCGCATGAAGACTTCCAACCACGACTCTTGCGACTGGCGTTGCTAACCGTAACCGACATAAAATTTTACCATCTTCCTCTTCAGTAGAATTGTCAAGACGTTGAGATTAAGCGTCCCTACAGTTGTATGGACATCCGATGAGGAAGGTAATTGGTATGGCAAAAAGGGGAGCGATGGATGACCCGTTAACCCAGCTGAGGCTTTGCCCCTGCCTCTGACCGCAACACACTCAGCTGAGTCATCCGACCCCGGAGGCTGATGTTTGGTGAATGACACCCTTGACCAATGTAAGCGTGGTCAGAGGCAACATTACCTGAGAGTCGAAGATCAAGTCACCTTGTCCTTACAGGCAGTAGTGCGGATTATTAGGATTGACGATATTAGGACATTCTTCAGTGGGAAAGACGGGTAAGTCGTAAACATGGATTTCTTGATGCTGAAAAAAGCCGTATTCGTTGGAACGAGCTCTCCTCCTCCCCCTCCCCAGTATTTTGTAGCCCTTAGTCTGGAGTAATTGAAGGGGTGTTTAAAAGAGGTTCAATTGAGTACATTGCTTTTTAATAACCTTAAATAAGTGAAAGCTTATCTTTAAAAATATGTGTCCGTTTGAAGTTTCGCTCGTCGCTTGGGCGTAGGTGCCGCATGGGAAGCGAAGTTGAAGATGTAGTGCTCTAAGACCTCCCTGAAGGGAAAAGAAGACAATGTGATTCGGCAAGCAGTGTATGGGAGGGAATGCTGTTAAAACACTCCTTTGAGTCGTATAAACGGTATGTCTTGGAGAAAGTGCTGCACGCTTTGTGGGGTGAGATTAGAGTTGGAGATAAGGAGATAGTTTGATGGAAATCCGAAGAAAATGGCAATTTGGACTAGCATGACCCATCGCATGAGGGTAGGGCTAGTCGAGGTTGCTCATTAAGTGTTAGTAAGTCTGGGTACTCAGGAGCATGTATGACTGCTTCTCGGCGCTGCCAACCATTCGGTACGAGAAAAATGCTAACCAAAGTATCGATTGTTTTAGTGTTGAATCGACTTATTATTTACTAAGTAGTATGTGACAACTACATTAGGTTTCTGGGTTGTCTGATAAGGGTGTCAGCAGAACAACAAAATTGGATACTTGTTGACAAAAGTGATTTGACAGGTAGTAAATAAGGAAAAGGCTCTTTGATGTTCGGCTCCAGACACACCACATAAAGGCATCAGGATGTAAGGCTGGAGGCAGTGCAATTTTGAGAAGTAGACATCAACATGGTTTGATAAATTGACTATTGCGGAGTCAGACATTACTGGCAAACCTTCGTCTCCCCTACCACACGTTCATACCCTCGAGTATTCAACCATTCACCTGGTCCTTCATCCTCCAGTCCCCGTAGCTAATGCACCCGCTGCCATCGTCAACCCCATTTAAAGTTGCCACACTCTTACTCGAGGCCACATGACACAAATGAGTGAAGCGTCTTCTTTATCAGGTGTTGTGATTTGCTTGTTACACCAGCAAATAATCAGGTTCCCAATCTTGAGGAGAAAATGGTGATTCGGTCGGCTCATAACTTTTAGCAACGGCATCGCTCTTCAACGCGTGTGATTTGTTTTAGTGGTTAATTTGTCGCTAAAGCGACCGCAGCTACCAAGATGTGAATTTGACATTTATTCTGATCTACTTCTTATATTGTTTTGGTGAAAATCCTGGGGACAGGCGAAGAAACAGGAATCTGTCGCGTCAGAGCCTATCACGTGACTAAAATTGTGTTTGACACTGGCTGACCAAGCTGATCTGCATGAGAATTGCTGTTATGGTGGAGAGGTGGTCATAAAAAAGGTGAGTAGATCAATCTAGCCGACCAAAGCAGTTCTCTGCTGTGGGGTAAAGTGTGTCCTAAGCGCAATGTGCCATTGTCATTGTCTCAGACACTGTGGCAAAATTCCAGCCATTGTGACTTCTGTCGGGTGTGTTGACCTTTCTCTCGACTGAAACTGGAAAAAGGCGAAGTCAAGAGTCCCACATCAATAATGGACAAGTTAAAAACTCCTTTTAAATTACATTAGAGAAGACGTACAGCATTGTGTTCTCTTTACTACTGTCACCAGGGTGCACCACAAATGGCTTATCTACAACCGTAGTAACAAACTGACCCTGATTTTTCAAACCAAAACCAAATAGAAATAGAAATCATGCAAACTAGGCTCTAGAGCTATTCTCCCCTTCAAAGACGAATGGGTTATCGAAAAATGGGCAAAGTGCGAAGGGCTTTAGTGACGCCATCTTCGAGCCAGAACCCAGTTGTTGCGTCAGCAATGGGGAGACGTCAGCTCGGCATTCATTTGGCATCTCCGTTTACAGCCCATCCTCTCCCCTGCACAGTCATGCACAACAACACACGCATTGCACAACGCCTAAGTTTTATGAAAGAGTGTATCCACAGAGGCCTGCGCCATCCACATAGAGCGACTGGATTAAAAAAGGGAGATATTATTGTAGTTTGCCTTTTTTTTCTAGAAACGAAGGCATGCTTTTGGCTCAAGTTTAAGTGTTTACGGAAAAAGACCCGAATAAGAATGCGTAAATTTTCAGTTTCGTAATCTACAGATGCTATCTGTCGGTTAAAACAATAAAATTAACTTGTTTGTTTGATTTGTCTGTTTAAATTGAACCAAACACTTGTAGTAGTTCGAAATTGGAAGTAAACTCAATAAGCTGATCAGATTTCTAGCATTAATTCTCAGTACGATTACTTATTTTACGCACAAAAATTTTGCCTTTTTGTGTAATGAATATATTGCTTGATTTTAGCTTTTTTCATTTAAAAGCATATTCTAGAACGGAGCTCAAAGCTTAGCCTTCGTTCCTGTCGCATGTTGTTTACTTGTTCCTCAGGAAATAATAAATATTAGACATCTCCATAAAGGAAGGTGAGTTACAAGGCTTGACTAGAGGCATAAGACGACGAAGCTTAGTCGTAGATGAATTCTATTGTGATCATTTGTAATGTCTCTGATCTCCCATCCGATTGTCAACGATTTTACTTCAGACCCCTCTGCTTCGTTTCCACTTGATTCTTTCAATTATCTCCCTCGAAAGGGAATGAGAAGAGGTCGAGAGTGACGGGTGCGCTCTGAGCCGCGTCAGTATCAGCTCACTTTAAGATGCTTCAAGGGCTTTGCTCTTTTGCACACATAATCGTGTTGTTGACGCCTTACTTTACAATCACTTTAAACATTATTCGCACGAATCATTTATTATCACTAAAACAGCTGCTCTCCGCTTGTGTAACGGTCTTGACATCCCATTAAGTAAAGGAAGGTATCAGGTATGGTCTTTGGCTTGATCCCGAGGCCAGACAACGCAGCTTAGAGCAAAATGATTACCAAATTGACCTCTGCCTAGTCAAATAAACAAAGCATTACATAGTACAATGCGAACTCAAGGATGTAATATATACTTATTTGTTTAAGTGGACTTTTATAGGAGAGTCTCCCTCCAATTGATATCTCCTACTGGCCTCATCTGCATCCCGTTCCACATTCTTCCTACAAAAAATGCCTGCTAAATCATC